GGGGGGGGTTGCCAGGACCGGACCTCACTGGGCCCCCGCACAGTCTCAGGCCCCGGTGCACCGGCTGCACCGGCGGTATTTCCGCCCCTGTTCAGGTCCACTCCAGGGCTGTTATCCTAATATTCACTACCTTTTGTATCACAGATCTAGAACATGTTAGCATATGTTAAAGCCTGAATTCCCATCTAGCATGCTTGTTCCAGGTCAATGACTCCCTAAGTAGTAGAGATGACATTGTCAGAGCTTTTCCTGTTATTTGTATTATCATGGATTCTCTTTAAGACAGCCCTATTGTGAGCAGTTTCTACCAGTTTCTGTTCCTTTTATTGCCGCCTGGCACAACAGAACGCCAATACAATGAGCCCCTATGCATGTGTCCTAAACCAGATAACCTTATCTTATAAAATGCTTATATAGAGTATGCATACCCACTTATACTGGTATTTGTATGGAGGAAAGTCACATGTTCATTCTGGTACAGAATTAGGAAATGTTTCAGTGCTTAGCTTTTACTCACATGACCAATAAACCACATGCAAAAAGCAGGAGAGATCCATTCCCTTGCATGTATTCCACAGTCAATCCATATTGCATTTGACGTATCTTTTTTACCTTTGCCAGAGAGCTAGAATATAATCAAAATGCATTGGTCTCAATACAGTGAAATAACTAATTATAAACTGATACATTAATGCAGAACTGTTTTAGTAAGAGTCTAAAACCTTGACACATGTATACTAAGACGCCTCAGCTGAAGCGGATCCCGACAATTATGTCCGGATCTGCCCAGCTGCGTGACTGACAGCTGGCTCTGCCTACCTAGAGGCAGAGCCAGCTGTACCCGCCCCCTCCCCCGTCCGTTCCGCCAGTCAGCGCTGGCGGAGCGGGGAGGGGGGAATCCAGCCCCTCCCCTGTCACGGCAGAGAGCCGTGACAGGATCGAGAGGTGAGCGAACACCGGTATGTGTTCGCTCACCTCCCGATCTACAGTCTCATTGTCACAGGTCGGCTACAACTATGAGGAGTGAAAAGCACTCACCTCATAGTTCTCCTTTAAAGTCACCCCCATGCTACTTTATGGACTTACCTTAAATGATGCCTCTTGATCCAATCAACCTCTTCCTTCCACTTGTATTCAGCAACCCATCCAGCACTGGTGCTGGTCTCTGATCAAGTGCTGGTCTCTGATCCAGTGCTGACTGCTGTATCTTCTGTGTCCCACGGTGTCTGTCTGACATGCACACTCCCAGCTGCGTGCACTCACTTTCACTGTGTCTCTCCTCTTCTCCCCACCCCGCTACTGCGCTTGTTCCGCCCCATCATCCTGCTTGGCTGCTCGAGAAGCTCCAGATCTTCAGACGGGAGCGAGTGGCGGAGACACAGGTAAGTCTACCGACTGCTGATGTCATCATGTCTTATGCAGGTCCATTGACCTGTATTAGAAGTAAGGACACCAAGGGATATTCCACAGCTGGAGTGGAGGGAAAGAGAGTTAAATGTTGACCGACCCCGGGACCGAGGATCAGATGATCCTCTTTTATCTAGGGGGCTTTATTTGAGCCCCCTAGATAAAAGAACATTTAGCCCTTGCACTGCAGGGGTAGCCCCACTAGGTTTTCTTAAATTCCCAGAGTTCTTTATAATAGCATGTGAACTTTGAAGTTATACCAGATTTATTAATCTACATATCATAATTTTATGTCTTAACTACTGTGACAGGGTACACGATTCTGTGTATGTCAGCGAGAGGTTGAAAAGGGCAGCTTTCCCTGGCTAGGAAAGGGTTAAGCCTGGCCAACAGGTAAACCTCCTCTCTCTCTATTAATTAGCCTGCACCTGATAGTGACTGGGAGGGAGTGAGAGCTCAGAGTGAGATCCAGGCTGCACTGGATGGACACAGACTGGAGAGTGTCTGCATATCTGGGGAATAAGGTCTGTCAGAATAATTGTTTGTATTGGACTGTGGTTTTTGTCCATTTATACTGGAAGCTGGAATAGCCGCTCCAGTAGGACGTAGTGAGGGACACTACTGTTTAGTTAGCCTCCTAAGGTGGAGTAGGCCTTTTTATTTGTGTTACTTTTTCGTTGGATGCAATAAAGCTGCATTTATTGCCATTACTGTTTAAAGACCAGTGACTTTCCTACACTACATACAGGGATCTGAATACAATATTTTTGGTAAAAGAGGTCCTTTAAAGCTTAACTCCAGGCACAAAACTTTAATTGAAATATACTGTATTTCTCAAAAGCTACAAAGAATATAAATCCATTTTGTGTGGAACAAATGTCTTTACAAACCCAGATATTATCTTATAAAGTAGCAATTTCATCTTTACTGGGCAGCACATAGCCAGTGCAGAGAGCATAGCTATGGTAGGGACCTAGCCACTACAAGCTGGCTGCTGGAGGTGGGTGGGTACATGATCAGTCACCCTGCACAAGGAGAGGGAAACAGTGACCGGTCTTAATTACGGGAAGCTCCTGCACAAAGGTAAAGTTTCACACTGAATTACTCCACAGATTTGGAAGAAATACACAAATCATTCCAAGAAGTAATAATATACGAGCCTCTTGTATTACAGAAAAATTTACCCTTGCAATGGGGCTACCCCCTTACTGCAAGGGTTGAGTGCACATTATTCTCTAGGGGTGAAAATAAAGAAGATATACTCACCCAATCCGTGGTCCTGTGGTGGAGACCGCTCACCTCTCTCCTGCTCTACTCCGGCTGTGAAATGTCCCTTATTGTCTTCACATCTAATAGTTCTGTATTAGACGTGAAGACAATGCCAAGGACCGAGAGCCCGACAGTTGCTCGAGAGAGAGAGAGGAGGGTACCCGGCGGTATTTCTTATCCCGCCAGGTGAATGTCCCCTCCTCTCTCTCATCCATCTTGGTGATGGATGCCGGCAGGTAACAGCGGTACAGCACGTGATGTCATCACGTGCGTACGCGATTATGTTACCCCCACTGGGTGTCACCTCAGGACACCTCTGGTCACGGGAGGGCATTAGTATATGTCCCCCCGTGACCCTATAGAGATCTATGGGATAAAAAGGTTACCCCATAGTTCTCTTTTAACTTTTCTATAACTCTTTTAACTCTTCTTTTAGACAATATTTGCTTATCCTGGAGTTCAGCCTTAATGTCAAAATATTTATGTTTACTATTCATCTTTTCAGAACAATGCAGGAGCTTAAATGGGTTAATATTTACAACTGTATTTGTCTATATACCTTTAGTACATAGAGTGGACGCTTTTCATATGAACTTCCAATGTGAATTCTCTCTAACATATCAGAATGTTTGTCTACCATTTGTTCCATCCAGAAATATATCTAACAAAGAAGGAAAAGAAAAGCATGCTTACTGTTAAATCATAATTGGTGCAGTTATTGTATACAACACGCACTCACTGAGCCCTCGTTCACACCTGAACGTTTTGTAGCGCGTTCTACGCTCGACGAACGCTCTACAATATAAATCCCATTGTATTCAATGGTCTCGTTCCCACCTTGGCGTATTTCCGCCCGTCCCTAACGCGCTACAAAACGGCCCACGCCTGAAAAGGTACATGTACTACTTTGGGCCGTTTTGTTGCGCGTTTCCATTGGGATACAGCCAAGTAGCCTTCGGAAACGCGCGACGGCCGCGCAACTTTTTTAGCGCGAATCGCGGTAAAAAAACGTGCGACAGACGCGCATATGCAATACGCCTAGGTGTGAACGAGACCTAAAGTTGTTTTTTGTCCTGTTTAAAAAACGATTGTTTTTTTTTTTCCATGACTACTACGTGCATAGTAAAAAAGTAATGTTTTTGTAACATAAACCTATGTAGGTTTCTAACCTTGGCTAAAAGAAAGTGTTCAGCATAGCTGTTTTCTCTAATGTTAGTTTTTTTAAAGAAAGTGTGTATGTTCACTTTATTTGCTGCTGTAAAGTACTACAAAATATGATGGTGCTATACACCGATCAGCCATACCATTGTGGCTACCTGCCTAATATTAAGTAGGTCCCTCTTTTGCTGCCAAAATAACACTGATCCATTGAGGAATGGACTTCACTAGACCTGTGATATCTCGCGCCAAGCTGTCAGAGGTCCTGTAAGTTGTTAGGTGCCCCACCTAAAAACTTATTTTTCTAGCACATTCCACAGATGCTCAATTGGATTGAGATCTGGAGAATTTTGAGGACAAGTCAACACCTCAAACTTGTTGTTGGTTTCCTCAAACAATTCTTAAACCATTTTTGCAGTGTGGCAGGGCACATTATGCTGCTGAATGAGGCCACTGCCGTCAGGAAATACCATTACTATGAAGGGGTGTACTTGGTCAGCAACAATGTTTAAGTATATGGTATGTGTCAAACATCCACATGAATGGCACAACATTGCCCAAAGCATCACACTGCCTCCGCCGGCTTGCCTTCTTCCCATAGTGCATCCTGGTGCCATCTCTTCCACAGGTAAGCGACACACACGCACCTGGCCAGCCACATGATGTAAAAGTAAAGTGATTCATCAGACAAGGCCTACTTCATCCATTGCTCTGTGGTCCAGCTCCGATGCTCACATGCCCATTGTAGACACTTTTGGCAGTGGACATGGGTCAGCATGGGCTTTCTATACCAGTCTTTATACCAGCTCCATTCACAACAAACTGCGATGCACTGTGTGTTCAGACATCTTTCTATGAGAACCAGAATTAATTGTTTTAGTAATTTGAGCTACAGTAGTTCTCTTATTGGATTGGACTACACAGGTCAGCCTTCACTCCCCATGCACATCAATGAGCCTTGGCCACCCATGACCCTATGGTTGGTTCACCGGTTTTTCTTCTTTGGACCACTTTTGGTAGATCCTGACCACTGCAGACTGGGAACATCCCACAAGAGCGGCAGTTTTGGAATTGTTCTGACCCAGTCATATAGCAATCTCAATATGGCCCTTGTCAAAGTCGCTCAAATCCTTATGCTTGCCCATTTTTTCTGCTTCCAACACATAAATTTAAGGGACAAAATGTTCACTTGCTGCCTAATATATCCCACCCACTACCAGCCACCATTGTAAGGAGATAATCAATGTTATTAACTTCATCTCTCAGTGGTTATAATGTTATGGCTGATTGGTGTATAAGTAAACAATGGCATTCATTAGCAATCCTGAAAGACTTTTTATATTTTTTCAACACATTCTTTAACAGGTTTTAATTTCACTATTTATTTTGGTGTCAGTCATTAGTAAGGCCAAGAATAAGACTTACATCATCTAGTGAATGATATTGCTCATAGTAGGAGGCGGAGCTGCGTTGGCCAGTAGTGTCATTGTATGTTTGTTGATGAATGAGCTCCTGGGCATTCTGAACCAACACTCTAGGACAGATATCAGATTGTTAGGATTCATAGAGACTGATAGGTAAACTGGCCCACATAGAAGTTGTCCATGACTTACGTGTATGAGATTGCAGATTCCGTCAGCTGAGATTTGACCTCTTCTACAAGGGATGCATTTACATAGAAATGAACTTCTTTGTTCTTTTCAATGTGTTCAGGTGAGTCAGGCTTCCACAAAACAATCTAAAATGAAAACAATAATATTTTTTTTAAATGTGTTTAAGTAATTAGCTGGGCATCTGTACATATTATCAGATAGATTACAAGGGGTTCAATTTGAAGCCCAAGCTCCCTTTTATCATATGTCATGCCTATAGCATGCTATACAGTCATTTCATCCATGCTATGGGTGATCGTTGCACATTGGCAGCCCTGTAAATGTCTACCTGGGTTACCCTAACCTCACAGTTCATCTGAGCTTGTATTTACCTAATTGAAAGACCTGTTAAAGACCAGATGATTTTTATTATGTCCTGATACTTAAAACCATAGAATTCAAAGAGGGTGTACTCTATTTTTCACACAACTGTAGGTTGAACTGGATGGACCTGTGTCTTTATTTAACAACTAAGGGAGAGTGAGGGATGAGTTACTAAAGAACTATAGCCAAATGTATTTATTTTAGTTTTGGATAGAGAAAGGGAGGATAAAAAAAAAACCCTGTCATCTATGTCCCATTGGGAGATTTCCCTTCACTTCCTGTCTTATAGCCATAACAGGACGTGAGAAGAAATATCTCCAAAGAGAGAGAGAAATCCCTGGTGCTCAGCAGGGTCACCAGAACTAGCGTCCATATTGGAAGATTTCCCATCTATTAGCTCTCATTCAGCTGTGTCAGTATCTATACATTTCACCCTGAGCTACTGAGCTCTGCAAACCACAGGTTATTTTTCAGCAGGAGCTGCGGAAAGACTGTAAACATGTGTAAAGAAACCTATATTGGAGCCTATATGCAATATTTAATATATTATTGTCTAAAACACAGAAAACATATTTTAATCATGGATTTTTTCTTTTGGTGCTCACTATTAAAAGTTGGGATTTCACATAAATTTCTGTCCCAATGACATACTCTATGAAAAACAATGTCTATATCCTATTATTCAGTTAATAAGTAGTAGTTAAAAAGGTAGTTGAAACAAAAACACATTTTTTTCTAATAAACTCAACATGTTAATTGCCCTACATATAGAGTTAAAGGTGTACAGCAAGAAACACTCTTGCCATTAGCTCCTTCAAACATCCAGTTATCCAGATTGAATGTTTTATCCAGATTCCCATTGTGTTTGTAGAATGCTGAGTATGGCTGCTTGATAAGTAATTTGATATTATAAGCCACTATAGTATTGGAACTAAATAATATCTGTACCTAGCCGATCTAAGTATCCTGCTGTGGAGGCCAATTGCTTATGAGGACAGGTTCAAGGACTTGTGGCCTAATTGTATAGCTGCTACCGTGTTTCCCCGAAAATAAGACAGTGTCTTATATTTTTTTTTCCACGAAAAAAGACACTAGGTCTTATTTTCGGGGGATGTCTTATGTGTACCTAGCTGCAGCTGTCCGCTCTCCGATCTCCCCTCGGGCGTGCGGATGGCCGTGCGGGAAGGAGCTGCGGCCGCTCTCAGCATTATTGTCGTCCAGTGAGCAAGACAGGTGGGTGTGCGGGGAGGCGTGCCTGGCGGGCGGGATTGAGGGAGCTGCGGACGCTCTCAGCACTATTGCGGTAAGGGAGCCAGACAGGTGGGCGTGCGGGGAGGCGTGTCTGGCGGGGGGGGGGAGGGAGCTGCGGCCGCTCTCTGCTCCAATGCCGTCCATGGAGCCAGAAAGGTGGGCGTGCTGGCGGGCGGGGGGGGGGAGGGAGCTGCGGCGTGACATGTAAAAAGTAATTATACGGTGCAGCTACCCCGGAAGTAAGATCTAGCGCTATCAGGGATTTCTGTAATATAAGACCTACTACCGAACTAGGTCTTATTTTCGGGGTAGGTCTTATATTACAGAAATCCCTGAAGATAGTGCTAGGTCTTACTTTCGGGGTAGGTCTTACTTTCGGGGAAACACGGTAACTATGCTGCATCTACATAGGTAATCAATTCAAATATGTAGAATATTTAGCAAAGTAAGCTAAAATAATTGTTCTTACCTCATCTGATGATGATGTGATGTTCCTTAAAACTCCAGCCTGCCCATCGCTTCGTGGTAGAACATATATCACTTGATCTTTGCTGACAAATGAAGCAAAATATCAAATCTGCAATTTATGTGGTTTGATGTAAGCTATATTTTTGTTTTAGCATGCACAGCATTAGTGTAGTAAAGTCACACAAATGTCATTGTCCAATCCTTGGATGAAGCAACTGCTTCTTTAATCTGAATGTATGCTTCATATCCCCATTCTGAATGCAATTTGTCTCAATGAATTTGGATTGTATCTTTAATATATCTTCACCAGCATGCTGTCATTGCTTTATCAGTTAGCACAGGTACCCCAGGTAATACTCTTCCTTATAGCTGGTAATAGCTGATGTTAAAAGAGAGCTAAGGGGTAAGTGTTTTTTCCCCTAGTTCTCTTATAGGTCACGGGAGGACATATACTAACCATCTCCTGTGACCTAAAGCTCAGATATACTGAGAGCGCCACACCTGAGACGGATCCACTCCTATCCTCCACTCAGCGCTGGAGCATCGGAGAGGGGAAGGGGGGAATCCCTGCGGGCAGCGGTGACTGTCAGTCACCGCTCACTGCAGGGAGACAATTGTAGTGATTTGAAGTGAGCAGATCGGCGACATGTTTCTGCTTACTTCCCGATCGATAGAGCCGACCTGTGACAGCTTCTTACTATGAGGATGAGTGGAAATCATAGTCCTCCTTTAAGGATTTTATGCTAGACCTCTTTGTGGGAGAATATTCACATCAGCATTGGCTGCTAAGTGCAAGTAATAGAAAGTGTTTGTTAAATGTAATAAGATAAATTAAATTGTCTGATTATGTAGGCTACTCAAATGAAATACTTGCTCTCAGGCAGAGTATAATGTTGGTTTTGGTAGAATAAGAATGAGGGAATGCTTAGGAAATATCCTTTACAAAGAAAAGACAGAGTATGAGCTTCTGGATGAGTTCTTCCTTGAGACTGTGCAGTGATACATAGTACATCAAGTGAAATGTTGTGGAGATGTTGGTGATCATAGTGATTTTGATTAGTACTCAAATAAATAAAGATAAATTATTATAAATAATAATTTATCAATGCACGATACCAGCTTTTCAGTATTGAGTATGAGTACCGATATTTTTCTTTTGGTACTCACCGATACCAAATACCGATACCTGCATCCTGGGGTACAGTGAGCCTGGCTTATCAGGAAGTCACCCTGATTGCCTGTACAAGTACTGGCCCAAATACTCATTATCGGCACCCTACATTTTATAGATTGATATGAACTTGTTTGCTTTCCACAGAATTCTCTAGATAATACCCAATTTGTTCTATAATAATTCTATTATAAATGTAATAAAAAAATGATATTTACAGTTCAGTAGGAGAAGAAGTTGTAGGATCCACTGGAATACTAAAATATTAAAACAAATAACATTTAAAACATTGCTTTGTGAATGTTCTATAATAAAATAGAAAATAATGTCACCTAGTGTGAAATGTCATACAGTCAAATCAAGGTCAATAAAATAAAGGAAATCTAAATTGTAATAAGCACTTATAAACTCGCCACTGCACCAACACCAACTTCTTTACTTGTCATCACTGCACTGACACTCACTTGTTTACTTGTCATCACTGCACTGACACTCACTTGTTTACTTGTCATCACTGCACCCACACTCACTTCTTTACTCGTCATCACTGCACTGACACTAACTTCTTTACTCGTCATCACTGCACTGACACTCACTTCTTTACTTGTCATCACTGCACTGACACTCACTTCTTTACTCGTTATCACTGCACCGACATTCACTTCTTTACTCGTCATCACTGCACCGACACTCACTTCTTTACTTGTTATTACTGCACCGACACTCACTTCTTTACTCGTCATCACTGCACCGACACTCACTTCTTTACTCGTCATCACTGCACCGACACTCACTTCTTTACTCGTCATCACTGCACCGACACTCACTTATTTACTCGTCATCACTGCACTGACACTCACTTCTTTACTCGTCATCACTGCACTGGCACTCACTTCTTTACTTGTTATTACTGCACCGACACCAACTTCTTTACTCTTCATCACTGCACCGACACTTACTTCTTTACTTGTCAACACTGCCCTGACACTCATTTCTTTACTCGTCAACACTGCACCGACATACACTTCTTTACTCGTCATCACTGCACTGACACTCACTTCTTTACTCGTCATCACTGCACTGACACACACTTCTTTACTCGTCATCACTGCACTGACACTCACTTCTTTACTCGTCATCACTGCACCGACATTCACTTCTTTACTCATCATCACTGCACCAACATCCACTTCTTTACTCATCATGACTGCACCGACATCCAATTCTTTACTCGTCATCACTGCACTGACATCCACTTCTTTACTCGTCATCACTGCACAATGCACTGACATGCACTTATTTATTCGTTATCACTGCACAGTGCACTGACATGCACTTCTCTAAACGTCATCACTGCACCAACATGCACTTCTTTACTCGTCATCACTGCACCAGCACGCACTTATTTACTTTTCATGACTACACCGACATCCACTTCTTTACTCATCATCACTGCACCGACATCCACTTCTTTACTCGTCATCACTGCACCAACATGCACTTCTCTAACTGTCATGACTGCACAAACATGCATTTCTTTACTCATCATGACTACACCGACATCCACTTCTTTACTCATCATCACTGCACCGACATCCACTTCTTTACTCGTCATCACTGCACAGTGCACTGACATGCACTTATTTATTCGTCATCACTGCACAGTGCACTGACATGCACTTCTCTAAACGTCATCACTGCACCAACATGCACTTCTTTACTCGTCATCACTGCACCAGCACGCACTTATTTACTTTTCATTACTGCACCGACACTCACTTCTTTTACCCATCATAACTGCACTGACACGCACTTTTTTACCCATCATTACGGCTCTGTTATGCACGTGTTCATGCACCGACACTGCACTGACATGATCTTATTTACCTGTGGCCACTTCACTGACACGCATTTCTGTATTCATCCTACTGAACAAACTCTTTTTCTAGTTTAAATTATAGGAAACCTGCATCAAGAGAAATATTGAGAATGTCACTGTTGACCTACTCCTAAAAATGCTAGGACAGCCTGGCTGTTCCTGTACTCAATATTATGAGTCACTAGCTTGGAATATTCATGCAGCAAATAAAGTCCCAGAAAAGTCAAAACTCCAAATCTGCATGCTTGCTGTGAGTCACTGACTTAAAAATCATTAAAGCCTTTGTATCTGCATGACAACCAGTTTGTAGACTTCTGCAATGGCAGCCTACATATTTTCTTAGTGGAGGTTTACTATATGATCTATACATTCTAATATTTTTATCTGTCATTCTTTCAGAATTCTTTGGTTTTTCTAGTATTTTGTTAAGCTAACCAAATACCGCTAATGAAAAGATACCACCTCTCAGGATATGCAGTGCCAGTTATAGGAAACCTTTTAAAGCAGAAGATTAATGTGTCCATGCAAACAGAAGAAAAGCTGGCTGCACACCAGATTCCGCTGGGATAGTTTCTTGAAGCTTGTACCACATCACTGGTTTCTCGCCCTAACATCGGCCCCCACAGACACGTTTCACCCAATTACAAGCTTAGTCATAGAGATGAGGGCGGACCAGGGTAGGGTGCTTTATACCCATGTATATGCTATTACATGGTAACACAATTAAACATGACATACAATAACATTACAATGTCCTTCAAATTCAACAATGCTGTTATATACATAAATAATAATAAAAAAGCTAATATAAATTATATATGCAAGACTATCACTGTGTCTATATTAATAATACAAAGCAATCCCCTATCAACTTGTGGTATATATTAATATATATCGGCCATATGTCAAATAAAACCAACAAATCTTTATTGTTTTACTGTATTAAATGGATTACTAAAAACAGCATAATTCTGATTTTTTTTTTAAAAAGGGAAAAGGAAAAAAGTAGAGGGGGAGGAGGTGAGGGAGGGAAAGGGGGAGTCACTCATAATAAAGAGTGACAGCCTACTCAAGATTCAACCCCCTGGTAATATGGTAAACCACCCCCCCCAACTGGAAGATCCTGTGCACCTCCCTTCTATTAAGTTTTAAAAGCCTATCCTCCCTCTTACTCCTTAAATCCACCCTTTCAAAAATCTGGCCTCTTGTATTGTATAGTAGAACCATGTTCCTCACAAAAATGTCTATCAATATTTGTGTCTTTATGAGTTCTAATATCAGATAAGTGATCCTGTATCCTGTCACAAAGTCTTCTTTTGGTTCTCCCCACATATTGTTTCTTATAAGTAATGCAGGAAATCACATAGATGACAATAACTTCATCGAACCGGTAGCTAAATTGAGTAACAAACGTCACTGATGAAGGATTTCCATGATTTCCATGGCCTTTCATTTTCTTCTTCTTGTTAGGGTTTCCTTTCTTCACCATATATTTTAAAAGTTCCTCTCTTTCCCCTTAGCATGGGTATTAGCTCACTGAATATTTTACCTGCTATAGCACCTTTCCAAAAAATCTGCTTCTCATGCTAGTAGCCTAAAGCTCAAAATCAGGAGGCTCAGTACAATTATGTCTAGCTCTCAGAAATTGTCCCTTGGGAATAGCCCTTTTCATATGGGATGAGTGACAAGTGTCTGCTCTTATAAGGGTGTTCCTTGAGATAGGTTTACGGTACACCTTGGTGTGGACCTTACTGTCCTCAAATGAGCCTAGTAATGTTCAAATAATTAATTTGATTGACCTGTTCTTCATCTGTAAATCTAAGATTTAGATCATTATGATTGAGATATGCAAGAAAATCTGTATCAAGTAAGCATCTCTGGCCAATAAAAATCAGGTCATCAATGTAGTGACAATAAAGTCTAATTTGTGTACCATAGGGAATCACTCCTCCAAAGATGTGGAACTCCTCCCACCAACCCATATAAAATTTGTGTAAGTGGGTGCAAATTTAGCGCCCATCGAAGCCCCATGTCTCTGGAGGTAGTAATCTCCACTGAACAGAAAATAGTTATGGGTCAACAGAAAACTGACAGACTCTAAGGAAAAGATGGCGGTTGCACAACCAGGAAAACCCACATTTTTGTATGGCCGGAAACCATACTTTGGTGCGCAAGCGCGCGGAAAGACGCGCACACGTCAGACGCCCAGGCAGTGACGCTTCGTCCTTATGGATTGCCCTATATAAACAAGCCTGCCTTTTGCTACAGTGCTGATGGTCTTCAGCTGGTGCCCTTGTGAACCCGTTTCCCTGTTGGATTGCCTGATGCCTTGTTCTTGACCTGGATCGCTTTGACTCACCCTGCTTGCTGCCTGCCCTCTGACCTCGGCCTGTTTACTGGACTCTCCCTTGCCTGTCGATTTTGTACCTCGTTGCCCGGCTGGTTCTGACCTTGGCTTCCTTGACCATGCTCCTGCTTCACGATTTTGTCTCGACGCTGCCAACCTGGTTTGACCTCGGCTACATTGACTACTCTGCTTCTGGACATCTCCAGCACGGTGCCCGGTCTCCATAATTGGCCCCTGTGCTTCTCGTTGTCCTCCCACGCTCTGTCTCCACCTCCAGGGGATGCAGGACACGAGAAGCAAGAGAGGCACCCTCATCCACCGGTCTCCTACCAGGTGCATGACACAGACTCAAGAGAAAAGTCCTTTAAGTCATCTCAAAAGTCTGTATATAAATCAAAATATATTGTATAGCTTTCAATGAAACCTAGAAGTTTATGTGCTTATATTTTGCCTTCGCTGGTGCTTTCTTTTCCCCTTAATCTACATGCTTATGACATTTAAAAAAAAAATATTTTCCATTTTCATTATATACCTTATTTTAGACCCATTGATGTCATCACAGGGTCTCTGTGCTTATCTGAGTAATGTTCTACGTCTTTTGAAAAAACAAGGCATTTTAGCATTTTCAACGTGCCATTTAAATTAGAATGTATTTTTATCAGTAGGTTTTTCAGCCATCTTTGCATATGCATAATCGGTACACTTTAGCATCATTTACACTGTGCTTCTGTGTGCTTAGTAAAAAAAAGATTTTGCCTTTACTAAAAAAAACAAAGTTAATAACAATAAATGTTATTCACATACATCATACAACAGCTGATAGTGTATCATTCAGCCATGTACAGTACCTGCCTTTAAATGGTGTGTATAGCCCAACCTTTTCTTTTCTTGTTTTAGATAGAAGGGTTATTTTTTGCTGTATCCTGCTGGGTAAAATTTCCCCTCACTTCCTGTCCTGGAGACACAACAAGAAATGAGAGGAAATCTTTCTAAATTAAAGAAGAACTCAGGGAATTTGAAAACTTACCCTTGTAGGGGGACTACCCCTGCACTGCAAGGATTAACTGCTTGTTTTGTCTAGGGGACTCAAATAAAGCTGTATTACCCACCTGATCCTCACACTCACCTCTCTCCCTCCTCCACTCTAGCTGTGGATTATCCCTCGGCCTCCTCACATCTACTGCAAGTCAATGCACTTGCATTAGACATGGAGACATCGGCAGTCCATAGACCGCCAGAGCCCAGGTGAGAACAGTCCGTGGTGACCAGTCTAGCAGTCTAGTGGGCCTTAGAATCAGGCAAGTAAATCTGCTTTTTTTAGCCCCCTAGACAAACATGCACTTAACCCTTGCAGTGCGGGGGTAGCCCCACTAGGAGGGTATGTTTTTTAAACCCTTACTTAAAGGAGAACTATAGGGTTAGGGCTTTTCCCCATAGTTCTCCTTAGGGTTATGGGAGGACACAAATTAGCGCCCTCCCGTCACCCTAAGCTCAGTATACCGCGAGCTCCAGCGCGCGGTATACTGAGACGCCGCAGTATACTGCGAGCTACAGTTTGCGGTATACTGAGACGCTGAAGCGGATCCCGACAATTGTGTCTGGATCCGCCCAGCTGCGTGAGTGACAGCTGGCTCTGTCTATCTAGAGGCAGATCTACTACCTCTATCTTCCCGATCTACTGAGCCGACCGGTGACAGTTTCATTGTCACAGGTCGGCTAGAACTATGAGGATGAGTGAAAAGCACTCACCTCATAGTTCTCTTTTAATCCCATCTTAGACAGTTCTTACTGGAACAAGTGCCCCCAGTAGATGATTGTCCTTTTAGCATGACATAACAACAAAAAACTGAAACAGTTTTTTACTAGCTACTATAATACACCTTTATCTGTAAAAGTCGAGACAACTGGACTTGTATTGCTCTTGAAGACGTATCACTGGTCATCTGATCACCTTTCTCAACTCAGAATGACTTGTACAAAAATTCTCTGGGAATAAACATGGTGAATGTTGCTCCATTCCACATAATCTGTTAATCGCAAACAGC